CACAATTTTTTTCTTTTTGATTTTTTACCTGGATTACTGAGATGCATCAGGACATTCAGTCAGAATTACTCATTCAAACAGTTATCTACAACAGGTAAGATGTTATTTGTTCATAACCTATCCACAGAACTGCACTGAACTGTTGCTTTAACTGAAAGAAATCAAAGATTACATCAATATTACTGTAAATATTTCATGTGATTTGGATTATRTCTGCACAATGATCTTTTTTTTTCATTAGTTTTCAAGCCTTAAATCAACATTTGTTGAAGAGCTTTGTTTGAAAGRGCCCCTCATGTTCTTATATCTTGAACTAGAAATATTAAAGGTGTTAACATAGGCGTTTCTTACAGTCAAACTATTTTTAATCCAATATAATATCAGATATGGTTAACATAGGATACAAAAAGAGATTATTACTTTGATCCTCTCTCTCTCTCTCCCTCTCTCTCGGAGGATGAGCTTAATTCAGAGCAGATTTTATGCACAGCAATAAGTTCTATGAAGCTTTTAGGTGATGATTCGAGAGCCTGAGCCCGGAAGATTAGTCTGACTCTAAATTAAAAAAAAAAAAGCTGCTGTAGACAAAATCTTTTTATTACATTTTGAGATCTGGTTTCCATTTAGGAGCAACGAGAGGTGCAGGAGAGGAAAGTCCACAAGTCTTTGGTGAAAAAAAAACTGCTTCACCGCGAGCCGAAAACAACCCTTCAACCTTCCTCTAATGATGACACAGGGCTCCGCGCGCTCATTTCTCACCGTTATGCCTCTCAGCAGCTATCGGCTCTGAAAGTTGGAGGACAGATATTGGATTTTAAAGACATAAATAACTTGACGTCCACACTGGCTCACGCTCATAAAGACGCAAAGATTTTTAAATCCATCTAATCATTTTTCACATTGAGCTTGTTGCTGTAATGGAGCATCTTAAAAATGAGGGATGGCTCCAACAGCTTTGATTCAATTCCTCCACTGTAGTTTTTAGTGTTTTTTTTTCTTCTTTTTTTCAAAATCCTGTTTCCGCTCCATCTAATCAACAACATTCTGTCTCGAAGTCGACCCAACGGGACTCTCACCCGAGTGTGATCTCGACTCCTCAGGCGCCGACTCCGAGTGCCGATCTGAGCGCCTGCAGCAGCAGCAGCAGCAGCAGCTCGGTGGAGATCAGCGGGCTGATCAGCGCCGCCACGATGTCGGGACGCTCACGCACCCCGGTGCTGTCCTCAAACGAGGTGCGGGTATTTCGTTGTTTCATTTAGAGAAACTGCACATAAAAACCTCYTCTCACTAGTTATTTTGTGGATTTCTCTAACAGGTAAAACATCTCCAGGAAATATATTATCTTAGTTTTTTCTAGCTCACTTAATGTTCAGATGGGTTGAATTAAAATAGTTTTTTTTTCCTGCTCTGTTAACAAACCCCTCCCTCTGTGTTTTCTGCGCTGCGTTCAGAGTCTGGATATGATTGACGATGAGGTGAGACCCAGGCTGCCGGCCTTCAGGGGACTAGTGCTTGTCTCTGCATGTGTTTGTGTTTGTGTGTAGTCGTTACAGCCTTAGAGTTTCTGCAACTTTCCAGATAACAGAGAGCAGATAAAAAAAAAACCACAATAAAACTAAACCAGCATTTGACAAAACAACAAAAAAGAAACTTTTCACAAAACAGAAAAATCAAAAAGCAGTACAGGTGAGTACTTTTTCAGAAAAGTACAAAACAAAACAAAAAAGCCCAATCTTTAAAGCAAATTAGAGAAATGTTTTGTTGTTAGATATTTTTCTGACTTTTATTGTCTTTTTATCTGCTTGTGTTTCATCTTATTTGGTTTAGTTTGGCACATTAAATCTGTGGCTGTGTTTTAGCTGCTGTGTCTGAGCCTGTGTTTGTCTGTTATTAAAATCTCAGTGGTTCATAAAATATTTTCCTGAAACTCTCAGAAAGGAATCACTGGATGTACGTCTACCACTGATTACCAATTCAAGATGGCTGCCACAGCTAATTAACCCTAGCAAACACAGAAAAAAGCTTTGCTTCAGTTTGACAGACATTGAGCCAGAATCTGCGTTTCTTAGTCTCGCTGTCCTTTCTCACAAACGTTCAGGTCTTAGACGAGGCGCCATCGGCGAAGCAGCATCAGTGGCCGAACCGCAGCGCCACAGAGTGGACTGCACAGCAGGTGGCGCTCTGGCTCTCGGGCCTTAATTTAGAACACCATATCCCAGAATTCACTGCCAAAAACATTGATGGAGAGCAGCTGCTGCTGCTGGAAAGCTCTGAGCTGAAGGTAACTTTACTTTTTTATGTCTAATTCACAGTTTTTAGTAACGTACCACTGCAATATTAATAAAATTGTGGATAATTAAGATTTAGGCAGTGGAATGGAATATTTAATTAATTTTTAAAGCATTTGTTCAATTTTTTAAATAGATAATTTGTATATACTATGTTAAGCAAGAAAGCAAAAAAACTATTTATAAACTTAGGATATATWTGTTTATTAGATTCTCTGTTGTAACAATGCTTCTTTTTAATAACCGTATCCTGTTGGAAAGCCTGTTAATTTCCCTTTTAAATGGTGCCACATTTGTAAGGAACATGCATTTGTGGGATGAGCCGTAGATCTGAGTATGTGGGTTGCGTACATGAAAAACTTGCCAAATCTCTGCCAAACAYCTGATTGTTGGTTGCTTTGAGCTTCTGGTACTTTCAGATGCTGCCAATCAGGTGCTGTAAGATTTARCGCCAACTTTATTACAACAAAGAAACAATCCATCAAACACAAAGTATGTATAAAGTTTGAAGTGCAAGAAGTGTGATTGTGCATGTTCATTTGTTTCAGGCGCTTGGAGTCACTTCCTCCCAGGAACGAACGCTGATGAAGAAAAAGATCAAAGARCTTAAGGTTCTGATGGAGAAGGCCAAGCAGAACCGGGAGAAAGCGGAGAAACGGCGCGAGAAGCTACGGAAGAAAGATCTGGAGCAGCGGCAGAAAGAAAACACCATGGTTTGAAGGGAGTCTCCGGGCTGCCTCCCGTCTCCCTGTAGCGCCACGCCACGTGGCATCTCGAGGAACAGAAAGCCATGAGGTCCCTGATCTAAATCCTGAGGGACGCCTCCTCTGCGGTTCTCAGCGGCGGAGCTCCACATCTAACCGTCCGAGGTGTCCAACCTCGCGAGTCAAAACCAAAACAAGTGGTTGGACGATAGAATGCTGCCCTTCATTTTCCTGGTTTATTCCCATCCTGTAATTTTCCCCTAAAGAATTTACTATTTATTTTTCTGTTTATAGCTGTAAATTGGGTTTATTTATTCACTTCTAGATTAAGTTTGTGAAAAGTTTATCTCATCCTTCAATAGTCACTCGTCACATCAGCCGTGGACAAAACTCTGTTCATGATAAACAGATACAGAAACGATGTGCCATTTTAAGAGACTTGTGATATATTTAAATGAACTGATTTTTTTTTGCTTTTAACGAAACAGGTCAAGTGTGTGGTGGATTTTATAAAGCAACCCTCATCTCCCACCACTAGGTGTCCCCACGCTGCTTCCTTCCCCCACTCGAGATGGACTGAACTAGGAACCATGTTTTTACTGGAAGAAACAAGAACACTGGATGTGAAAACACTGGACATGTGARCTGAAAACTGGACTGGTTCCATCAGTGATTTCAGGCGTGATCAGTATATTTGTAACTTTTAACACAYTTATAACAAAAAAATAAAACAAGCGCAGATACTGAAACATCTTCTCCCATATGCATAACGTTGCTCTGACGCCGCTTAGAACCTGCTTCYACCTCGTTTTCTATATCGGTGAGAGCCCCGCTGCTGCCTTTAGACGTGCTAGAGAAGTAGATTACTGCTTCTGCGTGAGTGCTGAAAACTAATTCACCCCTCTTCGGTCGTTTTGTTCCTTTCAAAGATTTACAAGCCCTCGTAGATTTTTTWAAAATATTCTCAGTAAAGTTTAGGAATCCTGCCATATAAATAGCTTCTGTGATTGAGCAAGRTGAAGCAAAAAAAGATGTCTTATGAAGTTGATTGTATGTGATAATTTATGACTTTAGAAAGTAATGCCCAAATATGGATTTTTATCTTCATTATAAAATTGGTTTGATTAATATTTAAAGTTGTTAGATATATTTTATGTTTGCTTACGCAGAGTTATTGTTTTAGGATTATGAAGTTTAATGTTATTTATTGTCACAGAGAATCGTTTTTAAGTCTGCAGCAAAGGTAGAAATTACAGCAGCTTTTCTAACAATATGATTTTTTTTCGTCTAAGACCCCTTATCGATGTGCTGCTAACATTATAAAGCATGAATAGTTGGGTCTATGTTACACCGTTTTACTAATCAGAATGATTTCTTTATCATGTTTTAAAGGGATAGTTTGGATATTCAAAGTGGGTCGTTGGAGAAATACGGTTTAATTTTCACTGTATTGACAAGCTAACGGCTAGTTCTTGCTAGTTTTGTTTAATTAAATTATTAAAACAAATAGTATTTATAAAAATCTGTATAAATATATTTTGATTGAAGTTGTTTTAAGATGGCAAAAATTCACTTTAGCTTGTCTTTCCAGTCAAAATTAAACTCAAAGATTTATCTGCAACAGGTAAGATAGTAGCTACACCTTTCAAAGTTCTAAACTATCACTTTAAGGAAGTAATTCTTTATTGTGATTTTTAACTATTAAGAGTTTTGACACTTAATTATAGTTTATCCAAAATTTATTATTTTATTTTGCCAAAATTAAATCATTCAGGTGGATGTTTTCAAAAAAAAAAAAAGATAACCCAAAGAGAGACAAAAACACATAAATATTCTGTTGTGGTTTTTGTTTTCCTCTCTTCCAACCAGAGAGCTGATTGAGTGCTTTTTTCCAAGAACCTGTTAATGATGTATTCTTACGAAATATTTTGTAACACTTCTGTGAATATTCCCACGCTCTTTATGAACTGGTGATCGGACTGGACTCTTGAGTCTTTTTGTATGTACAGATAAACACTAAAAGCAATATGGTGTGAGACTCCTGCGGAAGCCTTGTTTTATATCGTGTCGGTGTGTCTGCGCAGTTTGTCAGACAGAGATCTGAGCCACCCATGTGATAATGATGATGATAATAATAATAAATTAGATCTGTTTTTGTTGTGTGATTGGCAGCTTGCCTGTGATGTAACCCCGGTGCTCCCGGCAGGTAAAAACGACCTGTTTCCATTAAACCTGGAGGTATTTGTTTCTCATGTACATACAGTATGGAGCAGAAGAATGTTGCCACGAACTGCTAGCCATGCTTTCACTTTTAAAAAGCAATGCTTTTATTCCCCCTCTCCCCTCTCTTCTGTCATCGCCTTGCTCTTTTTTTTTTTTTTGCGTTCTGAAAAGGTTGAAAGGGCAGCTACCTGTCACACTGAATAAAATGTGCAGTCACTGTCCTCAGTTTGCCTCTGTATTTTTRTCTTCTAACCGTGTGGGTCACGCAGCCAAACAGTTTGTTTTTTGTGCATATGCTTTGAGCAAACGCTCATTTTCTTTTACTTTTTTGTATAAAATGCAGTGGCGCCTTCAGAAATGTGGGATCAAAACCAAAAGCCAGAACAGAATCTCCGACTTGTTGTCATATCTATATTAAGAAAAACAGCAATATGTCAACTTTAGCTCTTTTTTTGTTTGTTTGTTTTGTTTTGTCTTTTTTTTTTTTTTTTTTTTTTTTTTTTTTTTTTTTTTTTTTTTTTTTTTTTTTTTTTTTTTTTTTTTTTTACCATAATTAGATTTCAGTTTAGGGGTGGCCATTGCCCCCTGTCCCCCCTGAGGTGGCACCTCCTGATAAAGTAATTCAAACCATTCTTAAGGTTTTAACAAGTCTTTACTGGCTCCTAAATGTCTTTTTCCAGCACTGGCTGAGTTTTAACCCATTTTAGAATTGATCTATCGTTGGTTGTAAGCCATTTATTTCTGACTCCTATAGGCAAAAAAAAAACCACCCCACTTTTGCGATCCATAATTTGTCTGCACATGAAATACACAAATTTACTTTTTAATCCCTTGATTTGCTTCCTCAAAATATTTAAGGTTGCACCGCCTTTAGCTGATTCCAAGTTTTTCATTGAAAACCGTTGACCTTGGTGCAGAAATTGTATTTATACCTGGGAAGCATTTACTGTGCTTTTGACATTTTACAAAGATTTAACTAAAGAGAAATGAGAAAAAAGAAGTGTTAACCATGCTGTAAAGAACTTTGAAAGTGTCGTGGACACGTTTATCAAGTCAACAGTCATTCAAAGATAAACACAAGTGATATCTAAGAATGACTGTTGTTAGCAAATCTTGTTCTGACTTTAATCATTCTATCTGAAAATGAACAGCATGTCATGAAAACKTAGGTCTTTAAAGGATATCATGAATTACTTGCTTAAACATAAAAGGTTTAGTTCCACCACAGAAAGATTTTCAGATAGCTCTGAGAACTATTATCCAAGCAGATTACAATATTACAGTAAGGGACCTTATGGTTACACCAATATTACTTACTGTCTGGTTGCACCTAATCTGTTTCACATTTTGRTGAGTTGCCCATTTTTCTCACTCTCCCAAAACACTCACACAAATGTTTATTTTTACCAGTCGACCTTCCAGTAAGTGATGGACGTGTCAGCAGAACAGCTGACCTGGAGTCAGCCAGCACTAACTTTCTAACACGACTCGCTCGGCCTTCTATTTATATCCATCCTCGTTTAACTCCAGGACTATTTTCTTCCTCTGACGCCATGCTCCTGCCACTTGTTTCCTGTCTTCCCTGACTTCATTTCCGGCTCCCTTCCTTACACAACTCCTAWATGGAACCCTTGCAATGGTGGACATATTTGCTCCCTTAATCGCTGCCATTTACTCATTCGTTTCCAACATCATTCATGCTTTGAGGACAGTGGTAGGGTTTGAACCTGTTGATTTGCAAGCTGGTAAGGATTTCATGGAGGAGTTGAGCCCCAGACAGCTTGCTCTCAAACAGCTGAAGGACCAGTTCCTTCTGGCTCTGCAGGCCAACAYTGTACGGGAGGTCCTGAAGATTCTGAACACAGGCAAGCTAGACATTGACACTGTGCTGGAGGTGGATGACCCCAGCATGGTTCTGGCTTCATATAAACAAGGTGAGAAAAGTCTTGTTCCCAAGAATCAAAGTGTTGGGTCAACCACTAGATGGTGTTAACATTTTAATTTTCCACACTATAATCCCATTCAATCTCAATCTACCTGATTTCTTGCAGGATACTGGCTACCAGGCTACAAACTAGAGAAGTCCTGGGCGACGGCAATCCACGTGTGTGTGATGTACAACGCTGTGGAAACGGCTCTGGAGCTCCTTGAGAGGGGCGCGGCCATCAACCGCATGCCCAACGGGAAGACGCCCCTGCACGTGGCCTGCGAGGTCTCTAATGGCGACTGTGTGGCCCTGCTCCTGGCTCACGGGGCAAAGGTCAACAGCCTGTCTCTGAGTGGACACACACCTCTGCACTACTGCACCACCGGGGAGTCTGTGGACTGTGCCAAGCAGCTCATACTCAAAGGTATCAGGATTGTACACCCAAACTTTCCTTAACCTCTTTGTGTTTTAGCGTCTACAACCAACCAAACTGGGTGTGGGCTTTAGGTCTAATAAACTGGCCAAATCCTGCAAGCCTTCAAAATGTCTTCAAATTGATGAAGTAATATTATTTCACGAAGGTGCAAAGATCAACACGGCAAGCAACAACAATGAGGAGGACACACCTTTACACACAGCTGCCAGATTTGGCGTTCCAGAGCTGGCGGCTTTGTTGTTGGCCCACGGAGCATCTACGAACGCCGTCAACTCTCTTCACGAAACACCCCTCATGACTGCAGCCTTTTGGGCTTTCGACTCCAAGGATCAGCTTTTCAGCCAAGATCACCATTTAGTTTGTCGCCTCCTACTGGACCACCAAGCAGGTGAGAGGTTCTAACTGTAGGTCCCCTTCGTCGACTCGATCGGGAAGCGACCTTAAAGGCCTTTTTTTCTTTCGGTTGCAGATCCCAACCTTAAAGAGGAGGACCATAAAACAGCTCTCCACAAGGCCGCCTGGAACTGCGATCACGTCCTGATGCAGATGCTGCTGGAGGCTGGCGCAGACACCCGAGCCATGGACATCAACGGCTGCGCCCCCATTCAGTATCTCCTCAAAGTGACAAATGTCAGGCTCGTGGCCATCCCTGAGCTCTGCTACCAGCTGCTGCTCAACTACGGCGCAGCGCGAGTCTACCCTCCGCAGTTCCACAAGGTARGGAACACTTGATGTAGTTTCTGCTGCAAACGACAGGCCCTTCACAAGACGCCTGTGCTTTGTGAGGTGTTGATTTGCATTCATTTTGTCAGGTGTTGCAGTCTTGTTATGACTACCCGAAGGTTGTAGAAATCATGATCAACTCTTATGAACATTTAAAGCCAACCAGGAAATGGAGAGAAGCTATCCCAGATGACTGCTATAAGGTAGTACTTCATATTTTAAGATCTTAACTGTGTTCATAGACAAAGGATAAACCTTAATCTAATTTTATATTTATTCAAATGACAATTGTTGCCCCTTTAAAGTGGACATGTCATGTTTTTAAATCCTTCTTTTTACATTTAAATAAAGTTGGGGTCTATTTAAAATGGAGCTACAATGCTTTGGTCTGAATTCGTCCTTATTGTAGCTCCACAAGCCCCTCTTTCACCCTTTTTCTGAGGTGTGTCTCAGATTGACTCGTTTTGAGGGTGCCTCTTTAATCCAAACAAGGCGCTTTACCCCCCCCATTCTAGTTTGATAGAGGGGGTTTATGACTATATAGTGGGGCAGAAATGTTTGGCAGTTCCTTTGTTTAATTCAGAAAACAGCATACGAAATCGAGAAAACTGAACTGTTTGAAAAACAAGACCTAGACAGAATATAAAAGGTGTCTACGCTGCACCAGGAGTAACTTAACTCAAATTTTCTGCACATCTAGAGTCTCCAAGAACACAACAAAATGTATTTAACGGCTAAAAAAAGTGGATTTTGCATGATATGTCCCCTTTAAAAAGTGCCTTGTCCTTGAAACATTACAGACGACTGTTTCTGTTTGTCCCGACAGCGACATAAAGATTTCTACGACTCGGTGTTTGCTGTTTGCACCAACACACCTCGCAGCCTGCTTCATCTCACCAGATGCGCCATAAGAGCCAGCCTGCATGGGTTCTGTCAAAGAGGAGTCCAACAGCTGCCTCTGCCGTCACCCATGAAGAATTACTTATTATTAGAACCTGAGGGGATTCTGTACTGACGGAGACCGTAGTGGCATTACTGCTGCAGACTGTACTTCAGTCCTTTGACAGAGGCTGTTTTAGCCTCTTGGAAAGTCACACGGGTGTCTTTGACTCCGAGCGACACATTTGGGTTGTTTTACATCTTTTCAATGTCAACCTTGACTCCCTGCTGTTGTGCCGCATTGTTTCAAAAAGGATCCACATCCACCTGGCAACCAGCCGTGCTGCTTGCTCTTGAACTCAAAGTATTCTTTTTTTTATACAAGTCACACTTGGACCAACCACTCCACATCAAGTGCTTGCTTTTCCAGCGGACTGCACTCAGCCACGGACACGGTCCAGTTCTCTCAGCTCCCTCACAACAAAGGACAGCTTCCTGTCTAGATTTATCAGGATGTCCACTTGAAGTAGAAGGCAGATTTGTAACCCAGTTATTATTCTTGTCTGTCCCGTCTGATAACGTTATCATCCCCACCCTCAACAGGTTCAACTGGTTTTGCTTGTGCTTGTAAAGCAGCTGGATAAAATAATAATCCAACGCTATAATATGTGGCAAAGGTGAAAACAGATGCGCATTAAATATGTTCCTCACATGACCAATCAGCCATTTTTTTGTTTTTCAGCTGCTTCATCGGTGGATCATCTGCCTCGATCATATGAACCCTGTACTCGTCTAAATGTCGCGTCTTTCACCAGGCTTCTCCTTAACTTGTATTTTATACTTTAATCCACTTTAAATATGCGTTTGTGCAAAGACAAGATAGTGGGAATGTTCTCTAACTTTGTGCGCTTTAGTACTTTTTTACAGTTTTACAATCTGAAAGCAAACACCTCATTAAGCAAACAGCAGAAAGTCAATACATAGCAGCACGAACATTTGAGAAGCCAATTTTCACAACTGTAGCTCAGTAATGAATGTTTGCATCAGTTTAATACTGTAAAAACTGTGGTAAGCCTGAAACAAAGCTGCCCAGCTCAGGGAACATGGTACGGATGACTGAAGAGTCAAACTTAAAATAAACCTTTGAGGGTCAAACGCACAAGTGGGCCTTTAAAGAAAATAACCAAAGTAATCTGTGTCTCTCATTACAGTTATCTCAAATGTGCAGTTTTTATCGCCAAGAAATCTTCCTTTATTTAACTAGTAGCTTAGCTTCCATTAGAGTAACGTTTTATTAAAGTGTCAAGTTGAGGAGAGAGGGCGAAGTACATCATCTGGTGTTTTAAGGAGGCTGCTGGAGCGCGTAGAACAGCCTGTTCCTGGGCTCGTGTTGGCAGCGGGCCACCAGCAGCCACTGGACCGAGTCTGATCCAGTGGCTGACAAACTGAGCAAAGTTTCCAAAAACAATCTGCGGGAGGAGGAGGAGGAGGGGAGGAAGACAACAGCTCAGCAGAATTCTTACAAAAAGCAGCACACATACATTAGAAACACTTGTTTGTTTTTATTGTTTTTAAAGAAAACCTATTTGTCATGCATGCTTATGAGTTCAAACATTTCGTGTCATGTCAGACGATGATTTAACTGTTATAATAAAAGCTGGAAGGATTCTGAGCGGGAACAGTTTCTGGTCCTTTTCTGTGGCGAACCACACACTCAGCAACATAACACTTCAAGTGAAGATCGTAGGGTTAAAAAGTGAACAAGGACGGGAAAATATAAAGCAAAAAAAAAACTTAAAGAAGGCAATCGTGAAAGCTTCAAACTGGGACTCAGATCCATTTAGAGTTTTCTGTTTGTTTTTTTCTGAGCTGCTCCTATGTGTCCACCACAGACATCAGTGTGTGCAAATAAAGATAACAGGATGGCGGCTGACAATGTCTTATATAACAGTTTCATAAAAGGACTTTAAAACTTCTCAAATAACTTATCTAAATATATAAAAACTCTGGGTCCAGAGATCAACACAAACCAGAATACATTCAATCATTTAAAGAGAAACGAAGGCTTTTAAGGTTGTTTTGAGTTCGATATCTAACATCTCTTTTTTTGTTTTTCAGTCTTATATTTAGAGTCTGTTTTGTCACATGGACAGAGTGAGGTCGTAGCTAAAACAAGAAAAAGCATCTTTGATCATTAACGGTCCTTCTGGTGTCGACTAAAGCTGGCATTTCAAGTGCTTCCCAACCTCTTTACAACTTTGCATTAGAAAAAAAATAAAAATAAAAATTAAAGCTGATACGTTTTTGCATTTAAATGCAGGTAGAAAAAATGTATTTTCTTCATTTCCACAAGTTAAACTACTTTGATAAAGATCCGTTATGTTGTTATCGGCTATTAGTTTTAGAAACCCTAATAAAAGTGTTTAGGTCACATTAAATGTAAATGAACCTGGCAGTTTTCACTGTTAATTATTAGGATTTACACCAAACACTGACAGCAGATAATTTCAGCTTTAAAGTCATTTCATTGTGATTTTTACAGTCTTATAACAGATTATATTTTGTTCTCCTTCAGAAAGACTAAAAATGGAACATTTTATTGCTATTTGTTACGAAGCAGAAGAAATGATTTTATGTTAGTTTGCAGAAGTTGTGTGAATGAAGCAATAAACAGACTTTGCTCCCTTTGTGTTGTTGAACTCGAGCTCATCATTTAACTGGAGTAATCTCCCTCAGGGTGGTCTTGGCTGGGCTTCTCCTGGCATCAGTACAGCTAATCTTAAGCTAAAACACAACTTTACTCAGTATCTTTAACTAAAAATCATCAGTTGTTAGTCTAGGAAATGAGCCATTTTCAAACGCAGACTGCGGTCCTGAGATGTTTTAATGATTTTTTTCTCTGAAAGCAGCTCGAGAGAATGCAAATGTCTGCAGCAAACCACATCAAACCTGATGCAGAGGGGTTTTTGTCTGGAAGGCCATATGTGTGAATGTAGCAGCAAATTATCTGGAGGGTTTAAAACAAGTGGAGGAAGTAAGAGTGAAACCTGGTGAAAGTTGCTGCTCAGTCCACTCGGTTGCTGATGATGTGACAAAATGAATATCAAAGAACCTAATTCACCGAGAAAATAAAATATTCCAACCAAAATGTTCAAACCTTGCGAACGAGGTTTTGTTTAGTTGAACTGTCTTCAGGCCGGTCTGACATCTGGTTCAGATTAGTCTCTCATTTATCTGGTCAGGGTTTAAAAACACAAGCTCCTCTCTCTCCCCCTTAGATCTTCTCCACTTTTGTTCACTTTGACAGCGTCCTCTTCCTCAAGCAGGTCCACCATCAGTGGGTCCTCTCAAACTTGCCAAGGTTCTTTGGCTCCTTACTGGGCATGCACCAGTCGTCGGCCTCTGAGCTGGACTGGTAATGCCGCAGGGCTGACTTGTTGAAAACAGGAAGTCTCTCCACAGACTCTGAGGATAAGGCCTGGTGGGACAGGACAGAGAGAACCAAACTCACTTTATGATCTACATCAGTGGTGTCCAATCCTGATCTATTGTTTCCTTCAGAACATCTGATTCAGTCAATAAATTACCTCAGCAAGTTCTGCAGAAGCATGTTAACTACCCATTCATTCAAATCAGGCAAGTTAGAGCAAAGAAACCTCTAAACCAGTGGTCTTCAATTAAAATTTAACAAGGTCCACCTCAATAGCTCTTTCTCTAGCAGAGGTCTGATATATATATATA